TCTTTTTAATTGAGTGAAGAAATGAGGACACGAGTCTTTTCCAAGAATTAAAAATGAGAAAAAGAACATTCATTCGAACAGGCAGTTAGGACAGACTTTCAGTGAGCACTGACGGGAGCGGGGGCGGCCCAGGCCAGGACTGTGTCCTCTCTAGAAATGGTCGCAAACCCCACTTTGCTATGCCTCTCTTAAGAGCTAGTTGATAAAAATTATGTCTTGTGAAATCGGCAAATAGTCTGCAAAGTGAAATAAGAACAGAAATTAACAGATTAAACTGAAATGAGAAGTTCAGAGCAGGGAAAAGAGAGGAAGCAGGGGAGATCCCTGATCACAACCCATAATAATTCAAGACGGGATCCTGAGCCGAATTCCAGGCTGGGGTGGACACCTGGATGTGGGAAGCAGGAGCTGTTCCCAGAGTGACTGGTCACCATCCAGCCTTTCTAGAAAAGAACTACTCCCCACTCTAAAAACTATCCAGTGTCTAGCCTTCTCTAGGAACATTACATTTATTCTCACAGAATTCTGAAGATGGGCACAGCCAGGTGCCACTTGCCACCAGCTGTGTGGCCCAGGAAGGTCCCTGCAGCCCCATGTCACATGGCCAGAATGAGGCTCTACTAAGAGTGCTATCTGCACCCCCAGCCAGATGAGATGGATGTTCATAGAAAGGGTAAATCCAGGTGGAAAGGAGGACCGTTTATAAAGGGGATCAGACTGCATCTTCCTGAAAGGGGACCCAGGCTACCTGGTTTTTGAGTGAGAACAGCCAGGGTGAAGAGTCTCGGAGCTCTCTAGGACCTGGACGTGCTTTCATTTCTCCCAGTTAGCTGTCCTGCATGGCCCTGCTAGGGGGACTCAGAAAGGGGCTGGGAGAGGTTTGGGATCCACGCACAGCATGAGGGGGGCCGGAGGTGGGAAGTGGGTCAAGTGGGCATACAGTGAGGACACTGAAAAGAAAGACCACAAAGAAAACATCAGGACAGTTGGGAGGTGACATGACTGCTGTGCGATGTCACGACGTCACAGGATCCCCAGGGTGTGGCAGGGGTCCGCAGAATCTACCTGATGGGGATGAGGAGAGGGCAGAGGGCTGGGCTGCCCCATTTCTGGGTCTCCCTTCTGTACCCCAGCCGCCTTGGCCAGATCCACCAGAAACCTTCCTTGTTGGCATGAGGTGACAGATGGAAGTCAGGGCATCCCGAAGCTTCTCTGTAGCCCTGGCCCTGAGGCTGTGACTCCAGCAGGCATCAAGTTTGGTTCTAGAGGGGCTCAGCTACTCCTTGCACTCTTGACTGGAACAACACATGGACCTACCTAGGCTTTGGGTCTGGAAACACTTGGCTACTTGGGAGGCATCTGGGATAAGCACAGACACAACACTCCATAAGAAGCATCTCCTTTGGGAGGGGGTCAGGAGGGGAATAGACTCCGACCCCAGCTTGGCTCCTCAGATGAGTGGGGTGGGCAGTCCCAGCCACGGGGCCACCCTTCCCAGTTCAGGGCCACTCCACTCTTACCCTTTCTGAGAGCAGGCAGCCTTACTCTTGTGGCCACTGGTGGCCCCTTTCTGGCCATTAGTTAAAAGAACCAAGAGGCTTCCATAATGAGTGGGAAGGTGGGAAGGATGGAAAAACAAAAGTTTGATGGTTGAGAGAGAACAGGGCAGCTAACTCCCAAAGGTCAGGAAGCTGCTGTCTGTACACTGTAATGCCTGATTTCTGTCCCATTCAAACCCAGCTGATTGTATTAAGCTGCAGGGGCTGTGGCCATGACAGATGGGTCCTGAGCATAAACACTCCAACCCCACTCTATCCTCCTTCCCCCAGCTCAACCCTCCCAATTCCCAAAGCCTTGGCTTTGGTGAAGGGCTGGCACCCAGGGGACCCTATCTCACTCTGCCCAGCCTCAATTTGGTCACTGCTGCATCCGTCTGCCTGGGGCAGGCCCAGGGATGCAGGCCACGGAGGCAGAGTTGTACTCTGAGCCAACTCATGGGGGCCCTGGGGCAGGCCCTCTGATGAGACAGGTGCCTTAGCATGGGATCCACATTGATGCCCTCCCCCAATTATTCCATGTTAAGATCCCTCAATTCTAACCTCCTGGGACTAGCATCACACTCGGGGCAATGGTAGCCTGATTAAGGAGGGGAGCAGGTTGTGCAGGCTGAGTGCACAGATCAGTGCTGCACTTGGAGGCCCGAGATGTGTGAGCCTTTGTGCCTGTCATCCCCTGGAGGGGAAGCCAGGGGAGGAAGTGAGAGGAAAAGCTCCCCTTGAACCTGCCACCAGCTTCTGGGCTGAGCAGGACAGGCAGAGAATGAAGCACAGGGGTGCTGGCCCCACGGGTCTCTCTGGGGAGGAGTGGTGTGCATAATTAAGTGCGTGGACCATGCATCCCCCAATAACAGCCCTCTTCCTTTAAGCACTGGAACAGTACCGGCCCATAAGAAATTTCCGCAGTGACCGTTCTACATTCTGTGCTGGCAATAGCCACTTGCCATACAGGGCTACTGAGTCACTGAAATGAGGCCAGTGTTTTTAAAGGAACTGAAATTTTCCTTTTACTTCTTCTTCTTCTATTATTATTTTTGAGACAGAGTCTCACTCTGTCATCTAGGTTGGAGGATAGTGGTACAATCTTGGCTCACTGCAACCTCTGCCTCCTGGGTTCAAGTGATTCTCTTGCCTCAGCCTCCTGAGTAGCTGGGATTATAGACGCCTGGCACCACGCCTGGCTCGTTTTTATATTTTTAGTAGAGATGGGGTTTCGCCATGTTGGCCAGGTGGGTCTCGAACTCCTGACCTCAAGTGATCCTCCTACCTCGGCCTCCCAAAGTGCTAGGATTACAGGTGTTGCCAACTTTAATTTAAACCTAAGTTTTAGTAGCTACTTGTGGCTAGTGTTATTGTACCAGACAAATGGACGCTAGGGAGATAGCGGAAGGTGGCGGTTAAGGCCCAGACTGCCTGGTCCAAATGCAGGTCCTGCCCCTTGCATACTGTGACCCCTTCAGAAGGAGTTTCTACCTCTGTGCCTGTGCCTGGTGGGGGTATCTGCCTGGAAATGGGAAAGTTAATGACAGTGACTGGTTGAGTGCTGGCCTCTCTTGTGGTGGTCCTTCTTGCCTGTGCCCTTCCTTCCTTCAGGTCTGGGAACCTGTGGCCATCCTGAAGCAGCCTGCTGCTGGGGGGCATCTTTGGGGATGGCTTCCTCAGTGCAGGCCGAGGAGCCTTGCTGAGGCCCCTCCTAGATGGGGGAACCGCCCCAGCCCCAGGGGACACTGGTGGGGGAGCCCCCTGCACTCAAACTCCTCCATCTTGAACTTCTGCTTCTGTGGCTGCCTTCCCTGCACCCTCTGACCCACACAATCAGAGTGGGGCACAGACCCCAAAGACCATTCCTCACAGACCCCCTTTTCCAAAAGAGAGAAGTAAGGCCCGAGAAGCTGAGTGACCTACCCACGGCCACTTGGCCAGGTGGTGTCGGAGCCAGGACAAGAGCTTGGGGCTTCCACTGCTGGTTGAGGGATCTGTCTGCCATAGAGCATGGCTCTAGGTGCCCCCAAATGCCTCCTGACCTGCCCGCCTGCACCTTTCCCGCCCCAATGCTTGCTCTGAGGCAAAGACCAGGCCAAGTCCTCACCCTGCCCTCCTGTCATCAGTGTCAGGGCGCCATCTTCCAGCGACACATCTTCACTCCCTTTGCTTCCTAATTAATCTCAGACCCTGACACTCCCAGACCTCCAGGTCTAGGCATGGCTACAAGGCAGGGGTGAAACTCCGTCTGCAGCTCAGCTCCCCATGGAGCCTCCTCCCTCAGCAGAGAACCCACAGGGGACAAGACTGTCCCTAACACCTCCTCTGGAATCTGTCCTTTGCACATGGACACCCCCAAACACCCCAATATATTCTTTTTTTTTTTTTGAGACAGAGTCTCGCTCTGTCACCCAGGCTGGAGTGCAATGGCGTGATCTCTGCTCACTGCAAGCTCCATCTTCCAGGTTCATGCCATTCTCCTGCCTTAGCCTCCCAAGTAGCTGGGATTACAGGCGCCTGCCATCATGCCCAGCCAATTTATTTTTTGTATATTTAGTAGAGATGGGATTTTAACATGTTAGCCAGGATGGTCTCCATTTCCTGACCTCGTGATCCACCTGCCTCAGCCTCCCAAAGTGCTGGGATTACAGGCATGAGCCACCGCGCCCAGCCACACTCCAATATATTCTTATCTGTGCTCCAGATTTGAGAAAGGCTGGGGAAAAGCACACCCTGTAAAACATGGCTTCCTTCATTGTCCCTCCCCGATCCCTACAAGACCATGTGTCTCCTCACTGCTTCTTCCAGGTGAGCTCCCAGGCCTGCCAGCTACCTGGAGCTGGAGCTGGAGCAGCCCCGGCATGTGGCGGGTATCACCACGGGCTCTGCTTCAAGTCTTGATACCCACGCAGAGGGAAAGGAGAATCTAAACAGCCCACCCAGATGGATGGCAGCCCAACCCCCAGCAGCTCAACATCAACACAGCCCAGAAGGGCGCCGAAGCCACAGCAGTCAGGACCGAGCGGGAGGAGGAGAAGTGGAGGAAAGGAAGGAAGGGCGGGGAGACGTCAAACACTGGGCAGGCGAGGGAGGCCGGCAAGGGTGGTAGAGGGTGAAAGAAAGCCCCGGGCCTAGAGTTCAGTCCCCAGTGAGAAAAAACCTGGAAGAGGCTTCAGAAAAAGGAGGTGAGCACAGACAGAGGCCTCTTGCTTTAGTTCTCCTGCTTTCCCTTTAAAAGCTGCCATCCTCAAATACCCAGCACCAGTGAGTTATACTTGAGTTAATCAGAAACGCTGAGCTGCATCCTGGCCTTGAACTTCAATGGGTTTGAAATTTATCACGTATAGGTCATTTTCAAGAGGATGCATGTACGAAATGCATTCTTTTAGGGGTCCTCTCACCTCCCCCCAAATGCAGCCCAACTCTTGTGCTTCCAAAGCCCTGGGAGCCCAAGCCACTCACCTGGGAACTGATAGCCATAGCTAGGAGCAAATCCGGGGTAGCCGCGGCCATAGGTCGCCACGAAGTTGGGGTATCCTTGAACACAAAGAGAAAGATCAGAGTCCTGTTAGTACAGCCGCCTCAGGTCTGGGGTAAAATCTCACGGAGGGTGGCAATGAGGAACAGCCTGAGTTATTTTCCTTCACAGAATAATTTGTCTCCCATGAGGGTTTTTTTTTATCAAGGGCCTGGGTCACCTCTCTCCCATGGCCGGAGGCGCTGCTGTCAGCTGTTGCTAATTAACCCGTATTTGGGCAGCCAGACCTTGCAAAGCCCATGTACTTTCCTGAACCTTCAGAGTAAATGCCATGCATCAGCACCAAACACAAGGCCTGCGCCTGGCTCTGACATTTGGAGAGCTTACCCTGCATGTACTTTACCTTAAAGCTATTGACAGTAGGAGATTAAAGTCCTTGTGATGCCTCCTCCCAAGGCAGTGGACAACAGAGCCAGCACCAGACAGAACATGGGAACTCAGGAGTCACAGTTTAGCAGCCCAACTCAGGGCTCACCCTGGGCCTCTGGAAAACGCTGGGCCTGATGAGCCACGGCCCACATTGCAGTTTTGATACTCCACGGAGGTGCCAGGATCTTTGGAGAATGGTGAGGGGCTGGGTGTGTTAAGATGCAAACCACAAAGTGTAGCTCAAACTCAGGAGCCCCGTGCGGTGTGACTGGATGGGCATTTCACAGCAAGCGTATTATTTCTAGACCCCTGTCTCAGCAGACAAGCTAGGGGGTGAGTGGTTCACTGAAAGACGCTTGCAGAAACTGCCACTGGGCTGGCCATTGGGCACACAAGAAACTCAGCTGGCAAGTCCAGGAGCCGGTGTGACCATCTCAGATCTGTCACTAACCCCCAGTGATGTGAGGTGTCATTTAGCTCATTGTGGCCGCTCAGGCCACTTTGTTCTTCACGTCCCTGCCTGATTCAGGCTAAATGAAGGCCACATGGGCCAGGCTCACTCTACCTCCCTCCACTCAGTATATGTGTAACCTCAGCGCATTCATGCTCTTAAGATGCCACCACGGCCATCCAACCACTGAGGACAAGACTTTCGCTTTGACCTTGGAGGTGAATGTCTGTGGTCGTTTTTTGGCTGCCCAGCCCCTGAGCCTCTCCCTGTGTGTGAGTCTTGGAGAGAGGCCCACCCCCCATCACAGAAGCTGAGAAGGCCTCCCTCCCGCTCTTCCTGGGGTTGGAGGCTGAGAGGCAGGCCCGTGAACCTGGGCTCGACAGATGGAAGCCCTCCTTGGGATCTGCCTCTGGAGCTGGTAGGGCAGAGGAGGAGGGACTGGCTCTGAATTTATTCGGGTGTCAGCAGCAGAATCTGGCATCCAGTGTTGGCAACAGTGGCCCCCTGACCAGGTCATTCCTGAGTTGTCCCGTTGGCTAGGGCTGGGGCTCTGACCACCCAGCTCCCCCGGTTCCTGCCTGTTTTGAGTCCTGTTCTCCAGCCATCTGTCAATTCTCCAGCACTGCCCAAGCTCCTTCTAATAATCTCCTTGCTGCTTACAGCAGCCAGGGTTGTTTCTGTTGCTTGTGATCAAAACACTGGCAAACAATGACTTTGATGGCTAGACTTATGGCAGCCTCCAGGCTCTCCGGCAATTGAGGGCAGCAGAGACACTTTCCACGGCTGTCTCTGCCCTTCTACACACCCCCTTTAAAAACATCCCTACACACAGCTCTGGGGTCTTACCTGCTCAGTGGCTTCTCACACATCACACTGACCACTTTGTGACCCTGCAAGTGAGGGCTAACGGAAAAGGATCACTTACTAAATTCCACTTTGCCTGCACTCGGCAACAGGAGTCACAGTCTGCTTGTCATCCTGCTGCCTACTCAGAACTTTTGTGCCTCGGAGATGGGCTCCACCGTCCCTCACTTCCTGGTGGATGTTGGTGTTGTAGCCTCTGCCCTAGGATCTGTGGATCTGCCACCAGACCTAGAGCAGAAACTCGCGGGTCTGAAGTCAGGAGACCTGGGTTCTAGTCCTGCGTCTGGCCCACAACCATGCCCTTGGGGGTTGTTATGATTTGATGTTTGTGTTTTCCCCCAATTTCTTTGTTGAAATCTTAACCCCCAAGGTTAAGGCCTTAGGAGGTGGGGCCTTTGGGGTGTGATGAGGCCATGAGGTGGAGCCCTCATGAATGTGCCCTTAACAAAGATGCCACAGAGAGACCCTCACCCCTTCCAACACGTGAGGACATGGTTAGAAGGGGCCATATATGAGGAAGCGGGCCCTCACCATACATGGAATCAGCCAGCGCCTTGATCGTCACTTCCCAGCCTCCAGAACTGTGAGAAATAAACGTTTGCTGTTCATAAGCCACCCAGTCTATGGTAATCTGTGACAGCAACACGACTTAACATAGGAGTCTTCCTTTTTCTCTTGGAGCTTAAGTCTTGTTACCTGTAGAAAGTCTTGCAACAGTGATGTGCCCAAATTCTCAAGTGAGATCAGCTGTGGCTCCTTTCTCTTGCTTCCCCCAGAACCTTCCCAAATTTGCAGTCACAGCTCACTCACTGGCCAATGGAACTGTCTCTGCCTCCACAGGCTCTTGCCGCCTGCTCCTCCCCATGCGCTTATTTCCCAGCGCTTGGTGACTCACTGGCAGAAGCCTGCCCAAGCGAGGCAGAAGGACCCAGCAGCTCTGCACTGACTGCTAGCTAACGAGCAGGGGCCTGGTGGGATGCTGAGCTCAGGAACCTGATGGGGAAAGAAGGAAGGAAGAACGGCAAAGGCCAGGGCTCAGATGCCTTAAATGGACACATGCATACTGGCGCCTTCCTTCGTATTTATTTCGTGGCTGGGCAGCTCAGTTCTCCTCCAAATTAATCACCTGCTAGCAAATCAGATCTCATACTAGATTTCTTATACCATGATTTCAACAATATTGATAAACGGATTATATGCAAACAGCCGAGTCATGGCTGCCTAGGGGCTTTTCTGATGAAAAATGGCTCCTTTGCTTCTAACTTCAGAGCTGGGGGTCTTAAATATTTTAGTGTTAATCTGACAGCAAAAGCATAAGCCCATGTGTCACCTTCCCTCAGGAGGGTGGGAAGTGGCAGAACAGCCAGTTTCTCCCTGCACTTAAGCGACCAATACAATGCCATGACACCTGCTTTCTTCCCGGCTTTCCCACAAGGCTCCAACAAGAAAGAAGAAAAGCATGGTCAGGTTCACCCCAACTTTGGGTCTCACCCCACTCTTCCTGGACACATCAATACTACAGTCTTCCAAACCACAAAGATGAGAATTCGGCATCTGCCAGAGTGGGGGATCTTATCTCCACCCCCCATCACCGAACATCCTCTAGGTCAGGCAGATGAAATCATAAATTTATAATACGACATTACTTCAATTTTCCTCTTCATTTACTGCTGTGCAGCCCAGCTCTGCTCGAATGGTTCACAGCCCCAGCCACACGGGGGAAATTGGCTGGCTGCATATCAATAGCACATTACAGCAGACCCGTGCAGACGCTCCATCAAGCCACATTACAGCGGGATGACCCAGCCACCACTTCCATTAGCAGCCAGGCCCCTCCCGCACTGGCCACTGCACAATTTATTTGCTCCAATACTCTGGACGCCTGATCAATCCCACAGTAATTATCTCTTGTCACTAAAGTCAAAAAAAAAAATCAAGGCTTCTGCCGGGGTGACCACCTCTCTCGCATATCGGCTTTCCATTGTAGAAGCAAAATACAGAAATCAACAATAGAATTTGGATTTGCCAGTGAGCTCATTTTGAGTCCCCATTTTGGAGATGCTGACAAAGTTCTCAAAACTGTGGTTCTGGTTCTAGATCTTTGCTGCAACCCTAGAGATGTTTCCCTTCTAGACAGGTCCATGACTCATCCTCTCCTGGGCTCTGTTACTCAGCTACTCAGAGTCATGGAAAACGGCTCCCACCAGGCCCCAGACTTGAAAGAGACAAGAGACAGGGCTGTTTATCCAGGGAACTGCCAGAGTGTGACAGATCTGCTGCGATGTTTAGAGCACTGCCTGGGGCACCACATCGGCTCCATGAGGTCTGCAAACAGACTAAACACCAAGTGCCAAGAGTCCTTCCTAGGCAAGGATGTGAAGGCTAAAGTCTACAAAGATGCTTTGCCCCCAGAATCACTCTGAGTTGCAGGGGCTCCTCCAGACCTGCACTGTCCAATTTAAATTTAATTAAAATTATCTAAAATGAAAGCTTCAACTCCTCAGTCGCAAAAGCCGCAACTCAAGGGCTCAGCAGCTACCGTGCACAGGCGGGCAGTGATATTGGCCAGTGCAGACAGGACCCTCCCTCCCTTGCAGGAAGTTCTATTGGGCTGCACGGCTCTACAGGGACAATGAAGAGCTGAATTCTGAGTTTCCTCAGGAAGCGGCTAAACAAAGGAACACTTCCTTGAGAATAACCTCAACAGATATTTTTGGGAAAGTCAGATCCCAGTCGAAATTGAGTCTAGATGTGTGGTTTTAAGTTGCAGCCAATCTCCAATCTTTTGATCTGTTAGTGAACGCCAGCAGATCACAGCTTCCTAGTCCCTGTTCTCAATGATACTTTATTCATTTTTTGCCCGCATTTCAGAGGGGCTTAATGTCAGGGAACACTGAGTCAGGACTTCACGGGGGGCTTCTCAGTACGACTGCACCTAAGAATGCTTTTGGCTAATGTGCTTTAGCTGATCATCAGCATCTCTCTGGTTCTGAGCTGACAGGGTGAAGCTTTTCTTTAAGGGCTCAGCAATGTGCTATTTCTCTAACACTCGTATCAGCATGTTAAATAAACAGCATGTGCCCGATGAGGCCAAGAAAGTTAAAGGCAGTGGGATTATGTGGCTGAGGGCAGAGAAGGCTCAGAGAAATCAAATATATCAACAATCATCATGTGTTTGCTTTTATTAAGTTCACCTTCATTAAGAAAAATGAAAGAGATTCTATCACATTGAGCTAGGTAACTGTGGGCACCTCTTGGTGCTGCAAGACTGTGCCACAAAGTCTGAGGGGCTGCAAAAGACCTTTTCTGTTTTTT